AAATTAAAAAAAAAAAAAGAAATACATTTGATATCCAGGAACAATGGCAACAAAGGATTTAGACTATGACATAGACTGGGTTGATGAAGCACCAGCAGGCTTTGAGAGGGCTGACCCCAATTTTTTTTTTTCGAGATAAGTTTTGCTCTTGTTGCCCAGGCTAGAGTGCAATGGCACAATCTTGGCTCACTGCAACCTCCACCTCCCTGGTTCAAGTGATTCTCCTGCCTCAGCTTCCCGAGTAGCTGGAATTGCAGGTGCCCACCACAACACCCGGCTAATTTTTGCATTTTTAGTAGAGAGGGGGTTTTACCATGTTGGCCAGGCTGGTCTCAAACTCCTGACCTCGGGTGATTCGGCCACCTCAGCCTCCGAAAGTGCTGGGATTACAGGTGTGAGCTACCATGCCTGGCCTGACTCCAATTTTGAAAGTTCTACTGTGGGCAAAATGGTATCAAACAGCATCGCATGCTATGGTAAACTGTTTTGTGAAAGAGTTTATCGATGGCAGAAAACTTCATTGTTACCTTATTTTAAGAAATTGCCACAGCCACCTTCCACAACCACCACCCTGATGAGTCAACAGCCATCACTACTGGCCCTCCACCAGCAAAAAGATGAGGATTTGCTGAAGGCTCAGATGATCATTAGCACAGTATGGGGCCAGGTATGGTAACTCATGCCTGTAATCCCAGCACTTTCGGAGGTTGAGGCAGGAGGCTCACTTGAGGCTAGGAGTTCGAGACCAGCCTGGGCAAGACAGCGAGACTCGTCTCTACAGAAAAAAAATTAAAATATGTACATGGTATTTTTAGACATATGCTATCGTACATTGAATAGACTATAGTATAGTGTAAACATAGCTTTTCTATGCACTGGGAAACCAACAGATTTGTGTGACTTGCTTTATCAGGTGGTCTGGAACCAAACCCAAAATGTCTCCAAGGCATGCCTGTATTTATATTGTTTGCCCTCTGTCTCCCCCACTGGATTATAAGCTCCTTCCTCCAAGGGGCAGGAAGTTTTGCTTGTTTTATTCAGCCCTTGGGCAGCAGTTGGTGCACTGCCGCCCCTTGGTAAAGTGGTGGCATCCATGCGGGTAGGGATCCATGGTTAGGGATCTTTTAAGATGAAAAGGCCGGGCACGGTAGCTCACACCTATAATCCCAACACTTTGGGAGGCTGAGGCCAGTGGATCACCTGAGGTCAGGAGTTCGAGACCAGTCTGGACAACATGGTGAAACTCTGTCTCTACTAAAAATACAAAACTTAGCCAGGCGTGGTGGCACGTACCTGTAATCCCACCTACTGGGGGGCTGAGGCAGGAGAACTGCTTGAATCTGGGAGGCGGAGATTGCAGCAAGCCAACGTCATGCCGCTGCATTCCAGCCTAGGCAACAAAGAGAGACTCTGTCTCAAAAAAAAAAATAAATAAAATTAAATAAAAGACGAGGAGAGGGGACATTTCCGACAGAACAAGTGACTGTAAAAAGGAGTTGGGAAGGGGCTGGACTCAGGCTCTGGGGACTCCAGGGCTCTGCCCTTTGTCCTGTTCCAGGCAGTTCCCTGAGGGCTGGGCTGGGTGGAGCTGGCAGGAAGGATGTTGAGGTTGCCAGAAACTCGCCAGGAATCCCTGGCAGAGGGCACTGGGGCAGGGGCAGGCCTAGTAGGGCCATGGGTGAGGACTGGGGCAGAGGTAGGGCCGAGGGGATTCAGCTTTGGGGGGTGTGTTCCACTGACTGACTATCCCCCCCAGGCCCTTTCTTTGTCCGAAAGAGTTTCTCAACAGTTGGATCTGACTCCTGAGGACTGACCAGGGTAAGACCAGCGGTGGGGAGGAAAGTTGTGTGGGGGATGGAAAGGGGATGGAGGAAGGGCCAGGTCTGGGGCCTTGGGAGGAAGCAAAGGCTTCTGAAGTGGAGAAGCTTGGAATCAGATGCAGGCAGGGACAGTGAGTGGCTGGATCCCTGAGAATGTCTGCATAAAAGAGAAAATGTTGCACCAACAGCCTCTGTGTGCCTGGTCTCTGTGTATGTGTGTTTAATTTAAAAATAAAGATCAGGTCTGGCTATGTTGCCTAGACTGGTCTTGAACTCCTGTACTCATGCAGTGAGTCTTCGGTCTCCCAAAGTGCTGGGATTTCTTTTTTTTTTTTTCATTCTCAAAGGAGGTAATGAGATTTATGTGTTTTATGTGAAGTGACTCATGTCAACCCATGAGGGAGTGTCCATTATCATCCCTTTTGGCAGATGACAAAATTGAGGCACAGAAAGGTGACATGACTGCCCGGGGTGACATGGGCAGCAGGGGGCAGCTCCAGGGTGGTGCTGCTGCTCTCTGCTGTGTTTCTGTATGCTGCTCCCTCTCTCTGTCTGTGCTTCAAGTGTGTGATTTCTGGTGAGGTGTGAGTGTGTCTGGGGTTCATGTGTTCGTATGCACCTCTGCAAATATGTGTCATGGCTAGTGTGTGTCCTGTCCTGTGTCCATCAGCACTTTTTTTTTTTTTTTTTTGAGATGGAGTTTCGCTCTTGTTGTCTAGGCTGGAGTGCAGGAGTGCAATGGAGCGATCTTGGCTCACTGCAACCTCCGCCTCCCGGGTTCAAGCGATTCTCCTGCCTCAGCCTCCCGAGTAGCTAGGATTACAAGCATGCACCACCGCACCCGGCTAATTTTGTATTTTTAGTAGAGATGGGGTTTCTCCATGTTGGTCAGGCTAGTTACGAACTCCCGAACTCAGGTGATCTGACCACCTTGTCCTCCCAAAGTGCTGGGATTACAGGCGTGAGTCACTGCGCCCAGCCCTGTCAGGACTTTTTCTCAGTCTGTGCATGTTCTTGGTATGTCTGAAGGTATGAATGTTTGTATGCAAGCATCATGGCCTATGTGTGTTTCTTAGCCTGTGAGTGTATCTGTGTCTGTTTCTCTTGGCCTGTAAGCTTGTGTGGGCACATCTGTGTATCTATGAATGGATATACTTGCTTGTGCATGTCCTGGTCTCTGTGTGTGTGTTTAGAACAAATCTCCCCATTTGCTCAAGCTGGAACCCAGCGTGTCATCCCGGCTACCTCCCCACACCCCAACTCCCATGCAATCCATTCCCTACTCCTGCCCACCCTGCCTATTAGGGGCCTCAGGAACCTGGCCCTTCTCCCCACCTCCACTGCCTCCTCCCTGGTCCAGGATGTAGCATCATTATCTGGGTAACTGTGACATCTCTGATTTTGTTCTCTTTGATTTGTTGTCCACATAGCGGCCAGAGTATCTTCCTAAAACATAAACCTGTTCACACACTTCCAACCCTTCAACATCCCCTGCCATGCTCTTAGGGTAAAGCCCCTAGTCTTAGACACGGCCTCCCAAACCAGGTACCATCCTCCTTTCTCTTTATTTATTTATTTTTTTGAGACAGGGTCTTGCTCTGTCACCCAGGCTGGAGTGCAGTGGTGTGATCTCAGTTCACTGCAACCTCTGCCTCCGGGTTCATGCAATTCTCTGCTTCAGCTTCCCGAGTAGCTGGGATTACAGACACGTGCCACCATGCCCAGCTAATTTTTGTATTTTTAGTAGAGACAGGATTTTCAGCATGTTGGCCAGGCTGATTTTGAACTCCTGACCTCATGATCCACCTGCCTTGGCCTCTCAGCGTGCTGGGATTATAGGCGTGAGCCACTGCACCTGGCCCCCTCTCTTTTTGAGACAAAGTCTCACTGTTGCCCAGGCTGGAGTACAGTGGTTGATCACAAGTCACTACAGCCTTGACCTCCTAGGCTCAATTGATCCTCCCATCTCAGCCTCCCAGGTAGCTGGGACTATAGGTATACCCCACCATGCCCAGCTAATTTTTCTATTTTTGGTAGAGACGGGGTCTCACTATGTTGCCTAGGCTGGCCTCAAACTCCTGGACTCAAGCGATCCTTCCACCTTGGCCTCCCAAAGTGCCAGGATTACAGGTGTGAGCCACTGTACCCAGCTAGCCACCATCCTCCTCTCTTACCTGCCTGCCCTGTTTCGTCTTCCTCTTTGTCTTGGCCTTGGCTGAGCTCCCTCTGCACTGTAACTTACTGCTTCCTCAAGCCTCAGGCCTTTCTCTATCCTGTCCTCTCTGCTCCCCTGCCTTTCCACTGCTTGCCCCCTGCACAGCATTTAATGCCTGCCCACCCTTGGGTCCAGTATTGCCTCCTTGGGAAGCCTCCCAATTCTGTCTTCTCAGGGTATTTTTCTCTGTTGTATTTATCACAGTTTACAGTCATAGTCTTATCTGAGTAATATCTGTGTCCCCAGCTCAACTGTGAATCTGTCCTTCTTGCTACCGAGAGCCCAGGCCTGGCACAGCTTAGTGTTCGGTGAATGTCTGCTGAACAAATCTGTGTGACTGGAACCTCTTGGGCCCAGAATCAAGTTTGGGTCCACAGCAGTTGTGGGCCCACAAACTCCCTGCCCTGAGGAGACTGGGGCAGCCATCTCTTTGCCCTCACTGGGCAGGTAAGGAAGCCCAGGCGGCCTTGGTCCCTCAGAGCCCCAGTGTCGTCATCTGAGAAATGGGGTGATCATAAGGACACTAGCCTCATTCAGTTACTGGCAAGATGAAACTGATGACGAGGATTGCTCCAGCCAGCCCCGATGCCCTTGAGGCAGGAGCGAGGTCTGATTAATTCATCTAAGGCCAGGCACCAGGGCAGGCCTCAGGAAATGACAGGCAAATCTTGGAGTTTGCAGTCATGAGCCTTTGTGAATGGCTTATTTTGCAGGGAGTCCTACTCAACTGGATTCTGACTCCTCATGACAACCCTAAGGGAAGCATGATTATTAATATCTCTGTTACAGTTCTCACATTCCTTCACTTATTAATCCAATAAATATTTGAGTGCCTATGTGCCTGGCATACTGGGCTCTGTAAATATAGGGTAAACAAGGCAGATACAGCCCTGCTTTTAGGATGCTCACTCTCTAGGGGGAATAACAGTAATAATAACCTTCACTTCTCAGGAGGGTTTGCTGGGTGCCTATGCCATACGCTCTACACTCATTCAAACCTCACAGAAGGAGGTACTCCTATCATCATACCCATTTTAGAGCTCAGAAAGCTGAGGCAGGGAAAGAGGGAGTCTTCTGCCCAGCGCATCACTGCTCGTAGCCTGAGGAACCAGGTTTCTGAAGCCCACATTTCTTAACCACAGTCTGTACTGCCTCTGGGTATGCCATACTGCTTGTGAGGCTCAGTGTCTTGTGACAGCAAGTGCCCTTGGGCTCCAGTCTGTCTGCTCTCTGAGCTTGTCTGAGCCTGTGTGTGTCTGGAGCCAACTCCAGGTCAACTCTGGGCTAATGATGTGTTCTACCGCAGGGGAAACAATGAGTTTGGGGTCCCTGGGGCTGAGGGGTGGTGGTAGTTTCTTTCCTGCATGGGAACTTCCCACAGGTCCTCACGCTGACTGACAAATCCTCCTAATTGAGGACCTGCCCCTGCCTGAGGCTTGCAGGATTTCTGATGGTATGTCAGCCAGCCTTTCTTCAACCTTTTGAGATCTGAAAATGTGACATCTAGAGAAATCAGGCCTTCCCTTCTTTTTCCTGAGGCAGGCGTGGAGGTCTAAAGCTAAGCCAGGGCCCCTTGTCTTGGAAGGGGTAGGGGTCAGGGCTAGGCCCCAGTGGAGCCAGCGGAAGCAGGTGCACTGACATGGATGGATGGATGGACTGACTTGCCGGGTGGGAGGTCGGGACTGCGATGAGCTTTACTGACCCCACTGCACTCTTCACTACCGGTACCCCTTCCTCCTACCTCTCGCTGACTCACCCCTAGACTTCCTCTTTGAGTAAGAGCTGCTAACCCCCTTCCCCTTTATCCTCTCAAGAGCGATGGAGCCCAGAACTTCGGCGATCGAACCATTCCCCAGGTGGGAAACACTGAGAGCAGCCGTTGCCCTTGATCACACAGCGAATGCGGAACCCGAGCGGGAGCCCGGGTCCACGAGGCTCGCATTCCGGACTCTGCTCCCAAGCCGATCTGGGCGTCAGCTAGTCCCCGTGCCAGGGTGGGCCTCTCGGCTCTCACATCACCCCCTTCTCCAATGGATCATCCCGTCGCCCCCGCGAGCGGCAATGGGCCAGTCCGCGGACCCCCCACACTCCTCGCGGCAGTGGGCCAGTCCACGCTGTCCCCATTGCCCCGCAGGATGTACGAGGTTCCGGGCTGCTGCCGGTCTCCGCGCGCTCACCTTTGGCCTTGCCTTTTCGCCACCGCCGGCGACCGCGGCTCCTCGAGCCCTCTTTGGCATTCTTCGAGGCCGAGGCGGCCTCGGCTGCTTGCGTTCCCCAAGCCGACTCCATCAATTCCCCGCGGTACTCGCGCGGTGGCCAATTCCAGTCGCGAGGCCCTGCCCGGGGGGCCAATCCTCGCTACACACTGCGGTGGGCCCCCGCCATCACCCAATCCCGGGCTTGCTGTTCCGTGGGCCCCGCTCCCTAACCAATCCTGGTCTCCCTCCGCTGCCGTGCTCCGCCCCAACCGCCAGAATTTAAGACCTGGCTCCTCCCCTGCCGCGCATTAAAGGGCTACCGGCCAACAAAAATGCAGTCTCGGAGGCGGAGAAAAGGACTAGTGCGGCGGGACTAGTGCGGCAGGACTAGTGCGGAGCCCCGCGGGGAGCACCCCAGGAGGGAAGTCTCAGTCTTCCCACGTGCTGGGAAACATCCCACGTGCAGACTCAGCCTCGCTAGCCCACTCACCTTCCCACGGAGGGCTCCCCTAGAACGCCGCCCGACCCGCCTGCTGAATGGGCAAAGCCGGGCGCCTCTGAGCCTCTGCCTGGGGTGGGGGCGGGCCAGGTCCTCCGCCAACTCAAAGACGAGGCGGGGCGCCAGCGTTGGAGGCGTGGCTGTTCCCGAGAGCTTCTGGAGGAGGGAGCCCCGCCTTCCCTCTCCAGTCTCCTGGTCCTCCTGTTCCTCGGGGGCCTTTCTCCGCCCCCCTCATCCCTGCTCGGGAGAATGGGGAGGGAGAGGGGGCTTGTGTGGGGGGGACGGGGAAAGGCGGGGAGAATGCTCGGCGCCTGCGCACTAGCTTCAAGCCGCAGGCCGGCCCACGAGAGGAGGTAGAGGCAACCGCGCTTGCCTAAGAAAAGGCGGGAAACAGGAGGCTCGACGCTCGCGCACACGCACACAGCCAACTGCTTCTGGACCCCCTGAGAGGCGGCCTCGCCCGCCGTGGCGCTGTGGGAAGGGCGTCCCTTGCGACTGTGCTCTGGAGGCCTGGAGAAACAGCTTTCCAGGTCCTCAATCCCTGTCCTGCCTACCGCCTCTCTTCCATCCTTCCCAAAGCATACTACCAGCCCCGGCTCTGAGAAACGAGTTACCCTCTTCTCAGCTCTGGGAGACACGGGATGGACTGGCCGCCATTGCCTGCCCCCTGGACCAGGGCCTCACAGCTTCAGGATTAGGGCTGCGTTGCTTTTTTCCCCCCACCTCGGGCGACTTCAACAAGTAACCTCCAGTTCCATGGATAAAACTTGCATTCCCCCCTTCTCCATGGCCTGAGTTTTGAGCCTAGAGAAGGAAGATTGGCGCTTCCTGGGGCTCCTGTGAAGCAGGCAGCCTGGGCACTGGGCCCCGGGAAGAGGCGGAGAAGGGGAGGGTGCGCCTGCGGCGAGCCCAGAGCCTTGGGTCCATCACCCTCTGACGCTGCTTCCCCAACTTTCCTGCCGTCAGTCTCTGACCTTGCCTGAGACCTTGGTGGCTCCCGCACCTCCCTCCAAGCTTCTCCTTGCTGAGAACACAACCCGCAAGGCTGTTCCGCCTGGCTGGACTGAGTCCCCTATGGAGGCAGCCTGGCAGGGAGCAGGTGTCTTCCTGGCAGCAGAGGACAGACCTGGTAAACTGAGAGATGGTTGATGCCCTGAAGTGCTGCCTAGCCTGCATGGAAACTCCAAAAGGTAAGGTCCCTGTCTCGCATTGTATTGCTGGGACTTAGCCCGTGTCTGCTCCAGAGCTGGTGCTTGGTCGGTTTCTGTGGATGGGTGAATGAATCCTGGCAAGAGGGCCGTTTTCCTGGTCTCCTGGTCCCTAGTCCAGAGTGCTTTCCCACTCTGGGATTTGATTTTCCCCAAATCCTCTTAGGGAGGCAGTCGGGTCCAGAGACCCCAGCTTCAAATACTGACTTTGCCACTTCCTAACTGCATGGCCCTGTGAAAGATCCTTTACTTCTTTATTTTTCTTTTTTATAACATTTTTTTTTCTAACTACAAAGTAACGCATGCTTAATGTAGAAAACTTGGGAAAGGCAGAAGTATGAGATAATTTTTTTTTTTTTTTTTTTTTTTTATACGTATTTTCGCTTGTGTTATCCGGGCTGGAGAGCAATGGCGTGATCTCGGCTCACTGCAACCTCCGCCTCTTGGGTTCAGGCAATTCTCCTGCCGCAACCTCCTGAGTAGCTGGGATTACAGGCACGCACCACCATGCCCAGCTAATTTTTTGTATTTTTAGTAGAGACGGGGTTTCACCGTGTTGACCAGGATGGTCTCGATCTCTTGACCTCGTGATCCACCCACCTCGGCCTCCCAAAGTGCTGGGATTACAGGCTTGAGCCACTGCGCCCGGCTACTTCTTTATTTTTCTGCCTCAGTGCCCTCATTTGCAGAATGAGGATGTTGGCTGGGTGCGGGGTGGCTCATGCCTGTCATAGCAGCACTTTTGGAGGCCGAGGTGGGAGGATTGCTTGAGGCCAGGAGTTTGAGACCAGCCTGGGCAACATAGGTGAGATCATGTCTGTACAAAAAATGTAAAAATTAGCCGGGCATGGTGGTGCACCTGTAGTCCCAGCTATTCGGGAGGCTGAGGTGGGAGGATGGCTTGTGCCCAGGACTTCGAGGCTGCAGTGAGCCATGACTGCACTCCATCCTGGGCAACACAGTGAGACTTTATTTTATTTTTTCCTCTTCTTCTTTTTTTTTTTTTCTGTTGCCCAGGCTGGAGTGCAGTGGCACAATCTTGGCTCACTGCAACTTCCTACTCCCAGGTTCAAGCAATTCTCTGCCTCAGCCTCCCAAGTAGCTGAGATTACAAGCGCCTGCCACCATGTCCAGATAATTTTTGTATTTTTGGTAGAGAAAGGGTTTCACCATCTTGGCCAGGCTGGTCTTGAACTCCTGACCTCATGATCCATCGCCTCATCCTTCCAAAATGCTGGGATTGGAGGTGTGAGCCACTGTGCTGGACTTTTTTTTTTTTTTTTTTTAAATAATGGCAATGTTGATCTTTATCTCAGGATTGTTGAAGGATGACCAGAGCTAACTTGATACACTGTAAGTTTTTAGTATTTCTTAAGTAAATGAATGTCCCTGAGAGGCTTCAGTTCCTTCAGGTTCAGACTCACCTGTGTCCTGGTAGTGTCTGTGATTCTGGGCACTGGTTTTCTCATGTGGCGATGTCCCACCGTATCCTGACATCGCTTTATAACCGGATTTTCTTTTCAAGGCCATCTTCACTCCCGGGACCACCATTCCAGCCGTCATGGCTGAAGAATCTATGTCTGAAGATGACCCCATATCTGATTCTGACTCAGAATCTGTGACCCACTCAAAATATGCCTTCCACTCTAGGGCTGATCGCTGTATGGACAGTTCCTGCAGTTTTTTTAGAAATCCTGGCTCCGTCAAAGATCCTTGCTTGGATTTGGCTCCCTGGACTGGAGTTGTTCGCTGGGTTGTAGGGTCCGACTGTTCAGATGTTTCTTGGGATGTAGATTCAGTGGGGGCAGGTGGTTTCCTTTTGGCTCCAGGTTTAGCCTGGGCAGCAGGTATTGATTCAGCTTCTTGTTGAGTTGGAGGTGGCTTTCCTGGCCCGGGCCCTGGCTGGGCTACTTGCCTTTCTCTCAATGCTGGCTCCTGCTGAGTTGTAGATTCTTTTCCTAGTCCAGGACCCTGCTGGGAAGCAGCTTCCTGTTGAGTGAGGGGCACCCCTTTGATGTGAGGTGATTGCTGTGGTGCAGGCTTTTGTGGGGCAAGAAATTCCTCTTGCAAAGCAGATATTTGTTGGGCTCTAGGTTCCTTCTGGGATTCAGCATCATGTTGGGCAGGGGGCTCCTGCTGGATGAGGGGTCTTTGCTTTGAAGCAGGCTCCTGTTGAGTATTGGCTCCCTGCGGAGTCTTTGATTCTGGCTGGGCTGTGGGTGTCTCTTCTGGCCCAGGCTCTGGCAGGGTTTTAGGCCTCTGGTGTGGCTCAGTTTCCCAATCTGGCCTAGATACTGACTGAGAACCTGGCTCCATTGTTATTTGCCTCACTGGAGAGGTTGATGTCCGAGGTTTCGTCCTTCTGGGCTCTCACCCAGGCCTCTCATTGATTCCTCATGATGGCACTTCCCTTTGGGTTCCACTTCATCCTGGCATCACTGGTCTTCCTTTTTAAGGCAGCTGGCAGTGGGCTGATCACAGCTGGCCCCCACTAGGTAATGAACTCTGTTGCCTCTTTTGAGGGAGGATTAGGAATAGGAGGAGCCTATGTGCCTAGCATTCTCTTACAAGAAGGGAGGGGCTAGCTCTGTTATGTCATAAATAGGGCCCCACCTCACTCACCACTCAGTTAAAATATTTCTTCTCATAAGGCAAGCATCCCAATTTACTCCTCTGGGTCATTTGGGATGATAGAAGCCAGATGCTGAATGAGTATTCCTTTTTTCTCTCTCCTTTTGATGTTTGAGGAAAGCGTCATTCAGGAGGCAGTCTTTGTAGTTGTGTCAAAATTATTTCCCTCTTTGTTCGTTCCTACAAATGGTTGCCAGTTTATTTATTTATTTATTTTTGAGACAGAGTCTGGCTCTGTTGCCCAGGCTGGAGTGCAGTAGTGCCAGTTTTGCTCACTGCAGCCTCTACCTCCTGGGTTCAAGCCATTCTCCTACCTCAGCCTTCTGAGTAGCTGGAACTACAGGCATGCACTGCCATGCCAGGCCAATTTTTGTATTCATAGTAGATACTGGGTTTTGCCATGTTGGCCAGGCTTGATCTTGAACTCCTGACCTTAAGTGATTCACGCCCCCCAACCCAAAGTGCTGTGATTACAGGTGTGAGCTACCACACCCAGCCAGGTTGCCAGTTTAATTTCCTTATATTGTCACTCTGATCATTTAAGTCCCATGCTAAAGGCGAATGTCATGCCCTCCCATTTTTATAGCTTGAAGCCCCTCTGAATGACATTTGAGATCCTCTGTGCGGTCTCTCTAGCCTTAAACTATGGTTCTGTACTGGATTGGAAACTCACAGAATACAGTCACCACTGATGATGACTGTGGTAATGGTGATGAGAGTAGCCATAAATACCGAGGGCTGCCTAAGTGCTAAGAAACTGTGCCAAGTTTTTTTTTTTTTTTTTTTAACCTATATTATCTTTAATAAGACCATATCTGGTTCATTGGGATACTTTTTTTTCTTTATCCCACCTAGCTCTTATCTCAGAAGGATTTGTTAGAATGAGTGACAGATGAACAAGTAGGCCAGTGGAGAGAAGTATGTGTAGAATCTGGATTCAGTCTGCAGTGAATAGGGTAAAATGGGTCCTTTGAATGTGAATTGGCAAACCCCATTTGAAGGAAACAATTTTGATCTATTACATTTTAAAAATATTTATTGACGTCTGTTTGTTACTTTCCTGATTGTAGTTAAGATTAAATGAGACCAGCTAGGAAGCTACAGTTTCCTGGAATCTTTCAGATAATTAAGACTAAGCCTGGGTAGGGGGAGGGCACAGGATAAGAATGATGAGAGAAAAGGCACTAGAGAGAGCAATAATCAAAATGATCTTGAGAAACATGCTTTTTGAGAGCGCCGGAATGATTTAGGGGGTGGGTGCAGTGGGAGAATGAGGTGGGAAAAGAAAGGTGTCCTCTAGGTGTGCTCACTGTCTTCTTGACTGAGAATGTTTAATTGGGAGAGTAGGCGCTCAGAGCTCCTATAAAGGCAGAGCAAAGCTTGTTAGCTGACATTGTTTGAGAAATTGCTGGCAGGCTCTGGAATGCTTGTTTGGCTTCCTGTGGTGCCTTCGGTGTCCTACGATGCAAATAGAAGGGAGAGGCTAGTGTTAAAAACATTTTAAACATTTAATTTATTTTATTTTATTTTTAAGATGAAGTCTCACTCTGTTACCTAGGCTGGGGTGCAGTGGCGCGATCTCAGCTCACTGCAGCCTCCGCCTCCCAGGCTCAAGTGATTCTCCTGCCTCAGCCTCCCAAGTAGCTGGGATTACAGGCACATGCCACCAATGCCTAGCTAATTTTTGTATTTTTAGTAGAGACGGGGTTTCAGCAAGTTGGTCAGGGTGATCTGGAACTCCTGACCTCTGGTGACCCATCTGCCTTGGCCTCCCAGAGTGCTAGGATTACAGGCATGAACCACTGTGCCTGGCCCTAACATTTAATTTTTATGAGAGTTTTAAAAATTATAAAAATAAGACTCATCCAGTGGAAAAAATTTTAAAAATCCAGTAAAAAGTAAAAGCACTCCTCCCACCCCAGCCTCTGCAACACACTTTCCAGGGCTAACCACTGTTAATATGTTTGCTGCATATTGTTCCATACCTTCTGGTATATAAATATAATGGTTTGGCCAGGCGCGGTGGCTCAAGCCTGTAATCCCAGCACTTTGGGAGGCCGAGGCGGGTGGATCACGAGGTCAAGAGATCGAGACCATCCTGGTCAACATGGTGAAACCCCGTCTCTACT